GTTTCTTTCTTTCTCTTTCTTTCTTTCTTTCTTTCTTTCTTTCTTTCTTTCTTTCTTTCTTTCTTTCTTTCTTTCTTTCTTTCTTTCTTTCTTTCTTTCTTATCTTTTATTTATTTACTCAACCAACATTCGTTGAAGGTGTGCTGGGCACCAGGCACTGTGCTAGGTTTGGGGGAGTCCAAGGAAAAACAAACAGCTCCGCCCTTGCCTTCCCGAAGTTTGCAGTTTGGTAGTGAGACAGACTCATCTGATAACGATGACACAGCAAGTTGACCTCTGTGTCCCGGTGTAGTGAGTCTTGTGGGAGGGGCACCCATGTTCACCCGGTGGGTGGGGACAGGTGGGGCAGACATAGGAAAGGCACCAGTCTGAGCTGAGACTTGGAAAAAATGTGTTTGCTTGATGGACAACTTTGGGAGGGCAGTCTAGGTGGAGGGAACAGCAGGGACAAGGACCTAATGAGGTGGCAGAGCCTGGAAACTTCAAGTAGTTCAGAATGGTGGGAAGGCAGAGAGCGGGGGGAGCAGGCGTGCTGGGAGATGAGACTGGAGAGCTGGGTGAGGGTCTCGATGCTTTGCAATGGTCTTCGGGGGGCTTCATCTCTCCTTTTCTTTTCTCCCACCAAGAACCCCCTCCATTATCCCCGGCATCCAGCCCTCACCCTTCAACCAGCTTACTCCAGTCAGGAAACAAAAGCCCGTGGTCAGCCCCAGGCAGCAGTCTTCAGTTCTGCAAGCAGGCCTCTTGCGGGGTAGGGATGGGCATGAGGCTCTTTCCCCTGCCTCAAAGGGCTTATCAAAGTTTTCACCCCTCCAAAAAAAAAAAAAAAAAAAACCCTGTGGTTTTCCTTCTAATAGGGAGCCCCACTGCTAAGGAAAATAAGATCGTCTCTAATTTCAGGCAGATAAAAAGTGCAGGGCTCAGGGAGGTTAATTGACTTGCCCAAGGTCACCCAGCTGGTCAATTGTGGAGCTGGGATTAAACCCGGTTCCTGCTGCCTTCAGAGCCCTGTGCTCTTTTCACAGGATCAAGCTGCAGGAATGACTGGGCGGGAGAGAGAAGACTTTTAAGTTCTTAGAAAAAGAAACTGAGAAGTACGTAGCAGTCAGATGATGTAATAAGACCGAAGTAGCAGGTGGCGGAGAGAAAGAATTTTGTATTCGCG